AACCACCTTGTCGTCACTGAAATATGTTGTAAAATGGCATGCAGTGTGCTTTTGACACAACACTCTTTCCGAACACAATATCTAGACACGCGTTGTTGCGTGTAGCTGGCAGTATGATGTCAGGCAGAAGGGGAAGTCCAAGTTCAGCACCGAAAAACGCCACAAGTCACTCATTTTCACATCGAAGTACATTTATGTGAAGTCTCCTGTGACGATCACTGGCACATCCTCTTGACACACGGCATTGAAGTTGTGGAGCAAGAACTTAATGGTGTCATTTTGCGAGGTTCCCGGCAAGATGTAGACTGCTGCGGTGATGAAGCCGTGTGTTGTTTTGGTAGCACAAGCATCACCACAAGTCACCTGGGGCAGCGAGACGAGTTGGTATGGAATGCTGTGCGCTAAAAGTGTTATCTTGTCGAAGCATTGGTAATGGGCGACTCCAGCAGCTCGGGGGTCTAATGGCTAAGGTACTCGGCTGCTGACCCGCAGGTTGCGGGATCAAATCCCGGCTGTGGCGGCTGCATTTCCGATGGAGGTGGAAATGTTGTAGGCCCGTGTACTCAGATTTGGGTGCACGTTAAAGAACCCCAGGTGGTCGAAATTTCCGGAGCCCTCCACTACGGCGTCTCTCACAATCAAAAATGGTGGTTTTGGGACGTTAAACCCCACAAATCAATCAATCAATAATTAATGCAGCAGCTCGGGGGTTTTACCGTTTTACGAGGCGGATGCACTTGCATCCTGGCAGTTCAATGGCAGTGTCCATCCACATTTCTGTGAACCACAATAGAGGTACCTCGCAGACGACATATTCGTGCGAGACATCGACAGCGTGTGCGGGCAACGAGCGTATGTTCATGCTGCGAATTGTCAATGTGTGCGGTGACTGGAGGATGGCAAAGCACTTGGCGGTGATTGTATCAAGGCTATGAGTTTCTAATCGGTGAACTTCGTCCAACAACGTGTGATCCGAATTTTCTCTACCATGGTGAAAGGTGAAGTCTCGTTCTGCGTTTGTTAGAAGTAGTACTTCTAGTGTGGTGGCTACACTCAAATCAATGTAGATGAGCTTCTGTGCATGCGTGGAGATGTATTGAAAAGGGGCACCTGAATACACGTGCAGGCACTTCTATACGTATAAGGGGGCATGAGTATACATACACCTTGGTTGTTGTAGCCTGAAATTTTGAAATACGCGCAAAGAAATTCACCGACGTATGCGGGCAAAGTAAAATGCGCACGGTCGGTAAGTCATGCAGACACCGGCATAGAGGCGATTGTGGTATTAGTTTGTCTCTGTCGGTAAATACATGAGACAGTGAGAACACAGCAAAGAGAATTGCGTGGCACGCTGCGGTTTTATGTGGCACCAGAGGTTTCAAATACTTGTCCTGCATATCAGGTCTAAATATTAGCCTATTACAAACGGTACAGAACCTGCAAAACATGCATAGTCGCGGGATGCCTATATCTGTGTCTCAAGAAGCTTTCTCGGTGACTATGTATACTTGTGCGCATGTTGTCAAGTGCAGTTCGCGAGTGTGGCAGGGATGATTGTACAAAATCAGTTTCACCGAAAAGGTGAAGTAATGAATTTGATAGCGAAAAATTGCAATGTTATACGAAGTGAGCCTGGCAGTCAACTAATTTAGATCCGATCTCATGTAACTCTACAAAACGCTGGTGTAAGAGAACACAGCCACTTCAGGTACACTTTTGGCACCATTTTTTCGAGTTGAGAGTGCAGCCCGAAGAAGTTCCCGCCTGCTGTAGGGGCACGAGACGCGTGCTGATCGTTGCCGTGATAGCAACCATAAATGCCCCCCCCCCCCCCCCCCAAACGGGGAAAGTATACACAAAGGGACACTCTTTCAAAATTGCATTAAAAAAAACCAGTGATATTTTTTTCAAATGTCACTCTACCCTGTGCTCTCAAGAAAGAAAAAAGGGGGGAAGGGAAAATGGTGCAGGCCAGCGATGTGGAACATTCAAAGTGACCAGTACCCTTCTTGATGGGTGGTGCCATGCTGCCCTCTGCTGCAAAATGTCCTGACAGGTGTTGGCATTATTTGTCTTTATGCACACATTTCTGTAACACATCAATATTTTGCTGAAGAAAGATATCTGGATTTTTGATAAATGGTTTTAAAACCAGATGTGGAGAATCTATTCCTTACCTAAGGAAATGGTTTATGGTTTCTTAAATGAGGCAGCTAAAGGAAACTTTCAGAATACATTTGCTTTCTTTATACATTTTTTGTGGTAGGGAGGAAAAATGAAGTACAATCGATTCGGGATATATCAAACTAGGATATATCGAATTATTGGCTATACCGAACAGTTGAGAAATCCCCTTAAATTTTCCATGCAAAAGTGTGGGATCAGTGCGCCTGTATATCAAACTTTGCTATATCAAACGCTGCGCACCGCTGAAGCCTGGAAAGTGCATTTTTTCCTACAAATATTGATGATATGTGGGGTTTAACGTCCCAAAACCACTATACGATTATGAGAGACGCCGTAGCAGAGGGCTCCGGAAATATCGACCACCTGGGGTTCTTTAACGTGCACCCAAATCTGAGCACACGGGCCTACAACATTTCCGCCTTCATTGGAAATGCAGCCGCCGCAGCCGGGATACGAACCCGTGCCCTTCCTACAAATATTGATCAGTGTACGCCGCATTCTAACAAGTTATGATCCTCTTGCGTGCGCAAGTTACAAAAATGCTGTATAGTTGATGTGCGATCTGCAGGTCTTAACCCGTGGCATAGTGTTTTTCAAAAAATACTGATTGCCGAGGACACCAAAGTGAGAATGGGAAGTGACTCTGCGATCTCGTTGCAATGTTCGCATTCCATTGTTTGTTAGCGCACAATGGTACACGAGCCTGAAAATCATGGCCTTCAAGATTTGCAACCTTGTGATGTATTTTTGGTGTTTTCAGTTTTAAAATGCAGGTCTCGGAGGCTGCGCTCTTTCTAGCTTTTCTCATCAAAGCTGCATAAAGCAGCGGGTGCCAGATACAAAGGCACAGGTGACATCGATATCGCCAGCATGTCGACTTTGGAAACTCGACGTTGTCTTTTGTGCTTTCTCACCTCATTCCTAATAGATCCTCATTTGGGAGTTGAACTGAACATTGACCCGCACGTAGCAATAAAACCTATCACTGGTGCTTGGAGCAACATCAAATAAAGCACCGTGATAAACTTTTCTTGCGGGCCAGGTGACGACTTCGGGTGTGTCATAACCGCTAGCATGTAGTGCCTCAGCGAAGCCTGAAATGCTATAATTAGGCCTTAAATATGCATATTTTGCATTTCGAATTATCAATATATCAAACTATTCCACGATCCCCTTCAAGTTCAATATATCCGGGATAGACTGTATGAAGAAGAAAGTTTCAGAATTTTGTCCATAGTATCGCTTTCTGGGTGTTTCACGTAGCAAGAAACTAGTTATTAATAAAGTAATTCATGTTTTGTAATTAAGACCAAAGGATATATTTTGAAGTGCTGTTAGTTATCTTAGTTCAAATATGCAATTGTGAATGACATATTTGTGCTAGTGAATAAGTGATTGTAAAATTTGTAACTTTGGTATCTTTGTGCACAATTTAAGTCTTCCAAACTTATACTCTACTGTGAATATTCAACATTTTTTTTCATAATTGAATGAAGCTTATTACCTAATTTGTTATCAAAAAAAGTTGCAGAGGAAACTAGGCATGTTTTTCTGAGACGAGAACACGAAAGCATTTCTTCTGTTAGGGAGAGGTGCTGTGAAGTAGTGTTTTTGAGTTGTGTCATAAAGAATAAGGCAATGCAAGAGGCCAAACCGTGTGTATGAAATATTCACTTCATTCACTCTAAACCATGGTGAAAATATAGTAATCTAACTTTAGATAAACTGAACGAATCAGCAATTCATGATGAAAACATGGGAGAAGATGAGGAAAACTACAGGACAAACACATAAAGCTGAACACTGAAAGGAGCTCTAGGAACTAGTAACGTAACTTAGAAGGATAGACTGTTGGGCGAGTTGGCAGCATTTATTAGCCTTGTCTTGCGTTTAGTCACTCCATTTTTCATCATGAATTACCAACTAGCCCAACAGTCTATCCTTCTGAATATAAATAAATCGTTTGCTATGACTGCATTTGATGTGCCCATATCGCAGTGGGAATTCAAACCACACTCTGGTTATTTTTTTTGTAAATATCTTTCTACATCTAGTGCAACTTTTCAACTACTCCGTCTATGAGTCCATCAAGCACGTCAGTGTTTCGCACAGTTGTGTGTACATATCCAATGCATAATGTCAATTTGCCAGGCAGGTGTTCGGCGGTGTTTGCCTTTCCCTTCTCGTCTCGTGTTTGGTCACTTGGGTGTATAGCACGCACTTTTCAATTCATGCTCAGCCGTGATTCCTTCTCATTGAGGGAGAGCTTTGTTAACCAGTCTTTTGCCTATATCTACGCTTGGCCTACAACTTCCATATCCGACTCTCTGCGGCTATGCATGCTGTGGCAGAACTTTCTCTGCAGAAGTTGATGGCCAACTGATGTGGTGTGCAAGGACACGCAACCTTTTAGTCAGGACATCCCCTTCTTTGGCGGGCATATCCCTCTACTAATCTGTGACTGCAAGTTGCTGTGGCATTGTTGGCCATGTTGATACTGCATTGATCAGTTTTTGTCTGAAAGGACAAGTGCTCTCCGAATATGGATTTTGTGGATGCCCGGCAGCACACAGTTTCGACAACCTAGCCAAGTAACATTTTCGCGTTAAAATTACCCGAGTAATTTTAAACATCTGCAAACATTGTGCCATCATTCTCTAGCACCTAATATGAACTACTTTTGTAATAGCTTTATTCAGGTTACATGAAATTTTCCCTACATATTTCTGCGATTGCATGAACCACATGCACTTTTACCGAAGTACGGAATCTGCTGCATCTAAAGCAACTCTATCCTTCTTTATCTGCAGGTTGTTGCACCAGCACATACAAAAGCTGTCATGTGTTGTTACTGTGGATCACCGAGACCTGCGGATCCCACAGGCCTATCATGCTGAGAGCCCCTGGCCAAGTGCTCAGGCTCAGCTAGGGGCCCTGGCAGCCCACAAAAGCCCGCACGACAAAGTAGCTTGTGTGGCTGCTTGTTGTGCCTCGCTTGCAAGTCTACTGTCAGCTGCTGCAGGTGCCCCAGCAGCAGCCGACGACCTTGTGCCTGTGCTTGTCTTCGTGATCATTCGTGCAAATCCACCCCACCTGCTTTCTACCATCCAGTTTGTGGAAACCTTTCAAAGTGCCACTCGGTGCTGCCAAGGGGAGGCTGCATACTGGTGGACTCAGTTTTGTGCTGCTATTGCATTCATCAAGACTATGAAGTAACTACTGAAGCCCACACTCGTACTGCTGGATTGGACTTTTTTGGTACACCTACTTTGGTGATTGAAAAAGATAGAAAAAAAAAAGAAAGGCCAACCTGTGCTCCACAGCTCCTCCATCATTCTTTTCCCTTTATGGTACTGGGAGCTTGGAGCATACAATATAATATTTTCACTGGCAAGACAATTTATTTAGTGCAAAGCTCAAGAAGGACTTTAATATGCCACCATCTACAGTGGCAGATAACAGTCTTGTATGTTAGAAGTTTTGTTATAAACATGTGGCTGCCTTGTTTGTAAGAGAAAGTGATAAGACCACTGATTAAAGGGTGTTTATTTGCAGTTGGTGCAACATTCTGTAGCTGTAGCTTTGTCATGTTTGTAGCTGTGTGTGAAAGTGTTTTACTTTTGCAACCTAGTTTAAGCAGCTCAATTATAATGTTACCTGACAAAAAGAAGTAAGGTCTACAACATAAGTTGCACTGTCGCCATAAAATCAGCTACATTGCCTTGCTAGTGTGTCTTTTCGAAGTGCCAAGCACATCAAGTAAATTTGGCTTTGCTTGATAGATCTTCATCACAGTGATGCAATGCTATAGTTTTCACATGTTCAGAAATAACTCACTAGGGACTGTCTTACCTAAATTTAGTCATATGATATAAATGAGGCTGGCATTCAGTCTTTGAAAAAAAAAAAGTAGGCCCATTGATTAGTTATAGGTGGCTGGCAGAGTTACTACTGTTCAGGAATTATTTGATACTCCCTTGCACTTGTGTGCAATTTCACACCAAAGACTATCGGAATCACAATAAGTGATACTATTACTGAAGCAACAGGACATATTTTTTAATTGCTCCTTGGTCAGCTCAAGACCTTTGTACAGTTGAAATAGATATATTGCAGGCCAAGTACAGTAGTGTATTATAACATACACAATGCTATCTGGTAGTTTGCAGACTAGGTGGCAGGGGCTTGCTTATCGTTTTCCTTTGTGAGTTGGTTGTGGTTAGAAAGGATTGATTTGTGACAACTTTGGTGCTGTATACTACATATTAAGTTTAACCGTGTACATTATGCATCTTAATGACATTGGTTTTGTGCTTCCAAACTGTGAAAAAAATCTGCAAGTCAGTTGATGTCTGCATTTATGTAGCTGAATGAGCTGGAGCAAAAAGTCAATTTTTCATTACACCAAGTGACAGTTTCAATTTCATGTATTTACTGATCGTCCCTACTTACCCCGTGGTTTATGAGCGTTCATCTGGAAAAGTGTCATTATGTGAACTCTACCCCTCGGGCAAGATGGTTGTGCCATGTCATGTCAGAAGATAACATATTATTGTAAATGACAAAGGTTTCTACATGCAGGCTTGTTCAGCCTGCAAAATGTACGGGATTGCCATTATTATAGTGACACACTTTTACAGCATTGCAAACTAAAGCAGATTGTGTTATCTAACATTCTATGTTTCCCTCAAAACAGGGCTTGGAGCATTTCAGCAGCGAGTATTCTTCTATGGAGTAAATTTGGCATATTGCAGGTAATTGGTGCATGTTTAAGAACTAAAATGTTTACAATCTAAGGTAACCTTTATTTGCTCATTTTAGATAACCAAGTGTGGAACAACACAGCTTTTTTATTTAACCCTGCAGGAATGGTAAAATTCCAGGATGCAATGCCTCATTACTTGTCTGGCAGCAATAAGCGACAGTGATATGTTTTGTTACTCCTCTTTAAGTGACTAGGGCATATGCTGGTTAGATCTGAATAATTTTTATTTAGGCTATAGATCTATCTGAATTGTTGAAGCACCCAGCTTGAGCTACTGGTAGTACTACTTTTCATTTGCGAAAACGCTGATAGAAAAGTAATGGGTTATGTATTTGAAGCTGTGCCCGAACTACACTTTGTCTCGACAGCATGGAAGTTATGTGCATGTTTGTGTTCATAGTGCATTAAAACGAGAAAAGCCAGCAGTCACCTTTGTTGTTTTATTTATGCTCAGAGCTCTCATTACATTTTTCTTGTTTGCTGCTGTCAGATTCCCACATTCAATTGACAATGCAAGAGGTTGGAGCTGCTTTCTTGTACACATGAGCATAGTTTACAAGCATATGCTAACTTAAATAAAAACGTGCTAACTTATATTGCAGTTAAAACTTGGTCAACGAAACCTGATTTTATGAATTTACCGATCAAATGAAGATATTTTCATTCCCTGGCAGGTACCCATAGGGTTCGATGTTGTCCTATATTTGAATTAAGGAAACTATCATGACACTAAACTCGATTTCATTAAGAATTTTCGAAGCTAACAGAGTAAAAAGGCGATGTGATTTTTTTCCAATTCTCGCACAGATGAGCTTTTCTTTGAGTGCACACAGTAACGCTATTATGTAAGAATGTCTACCGCTCTAGAGATGACCACTGTTTTATTTTGGCGAGGCTGCATGCTGCACCCATGCTCAGAACAATGAAGTGAGCAGTTGGTAGTGCTTTTACCTACAAATGGCACTTGGGACAGTAGTGGTCTAATGTTCCTGTAACTGCATCTTCAAGAATGTGGTGTTCCCTTTCGCTATTCAAAGATTTGTGTGACTGCTTGCAACTTTCTTTCTCTGCCTGCTTGCACAATTACTCAATTTGTTCTCCCAATCTTTGCATATTGGCATATTGTCATAGCTTCAGGTGACGCTCTACCTCACCTGTATCATGCCAACATGAGAGGCTTTATTTCTTGGCCACTCTGGGAAGGTTTAACATGTGCAGGCGTGTATGAGTGGCAAATAAAATGCCACGGTAGCTTTCGGGTTTGACAATGTCAAAATAAGATTTTGAAGGACCAAAAAGTATTGTTTTCTCAATTTTATAAGCTGGTTTAACTAAATTTTAGTGCGATAATTATTTCATTAAACTGAGTTCTAACTCTACTTTTTTCATTTCAGTCCTGAGATGATTTCACATCTTTATAACAAGCAAAGCATGGCCTGTAAATTGTCACAAGCATTGTTTCTCAACCACATATTCAACTTCTGCCATGTATTTCTCAGAGGGGTCTTCAACTACTTTTCCAAGTAATCATCAAATGACCTCCTTATAACAGTTTACCACCTCATAAATCTATTGCCACCAAGAAATGGTTCGAATCTTGTGAAGAATGAGTGGAATTACAGGGACTTGTCCCAAACCCTTTCTCTTTTCTCTCACCCCTACAAGCTATCTGTACACTACACAGGGAGGCTTGGCAGAGTGTGAGAAGTTGTGTCAACATACGTCATGACCTTGATGGCAACTGATGAAACGCGTTCGCTCTCTCCAAAGTGCGAGTGTGAATATTGAGGAATGTTGGTAGACCATTGGGTGCGACCTGGTAAGTGTCAGCATCCTATGGCAAGAAGAACATATTATCCAGTCGCCACTCTTTATATGCAGTGCCCAGCTCTCGTTACCCAAGGTTGAAAAACATGCTGAAACGCTATGACAGTGCAATGAAATGCATGTTGCTTACTGCCATCTGGAATGTGTCACACTATTTCTTGTGTTGTTCATAATTGCCTAATGGCATGTTTGATTACCCAACTTTTTAAAGCAATGCACCTGGGCAGGAAACAGCTATCAAAAACTTGTAGATCACTGTGCAAAACATGTCATTAGGCAGTTTCTTACTTTCTATCTACAAAATATCAGTGTTTTGTTGCTTATTACAAATGCCCGTGAAACAAAACAAGTGCCACATGACATGCCTGCTTGCGTGTCTTATTGCAGCGCTCTGATACATTCTGTCCGAAAAAGGCCACAGTATTTGATCAGGTGTGCTGCCTAGCGACGATAGTGATGACTGTGCAGTGACAGCCATCATTATTGTAGCTGCCCATTAGCAAAACATGTAGTGACATATGTTTTGCTAATGGCGACACTAGCGATAACTAGTGTGTCTGTTTATCGCTGTCATGAACCGTCAGGAGGGAAGCGTACGGTTTGTACGCGGAACGTCGAGGATCTCCCTTGCCAGCGAATCATCGAGATGGTTCGCTGGTAATGCTGGCTGTTATTTTTCTGCAGGTTATTCAGGTTCTCTTTTAGCAACACCACATGTTCTGGCATTCCTAAGTTTCAAATATGAGCTCCAATGGAATTAGTGTAGAAGGCTCAACTGTGCATGTGGCCTGCTCCAGTGCATAAATTATCTTGTGTGGCAACATTGAATCTCTAGCTTAAGAAAAAAAAGCTCCACTGTATTCTGTCCACTCTAACTTTTTGCACTTGTCGAGGGCTTCATTATGGCAGATGTGATGCAGCATGCGAGGGCATTTTTGTCAGCTGCCATCTTGTGCAAAAATAACATGCCCTGTGATGCCCTCTGGCAAAAAGAGTATTCCACGCTCGCTGTCATGGCTACGAGTGGGGCTGGAAAACACCCCCAGGGGTTTAATGTACTCAGCTAGCGAACAAAATGTGGATGAGGGAGCTTCCTCGATCGCAGCTCAATTGGTAGAGCATTAAATGGATGTATAATTCAGTGGTACTGGGTTCAACTTCCACTAATGAAAAGGGTGGTTTTCTGTTCACTTTAGTTTCTTAACTGCAATTTAAGTCATAAATGTTACACTACAGTCAAAAAAACAAATAATGTCTCCTATGCTTTCCTTGTCTTGGTTGTCTGCAATTGGTTTCATTGGTTGCGGCTACCAAAGAAACAAGACCCCTGAACAATGCTCTTTCTTTCCCACTGCATCCATGTCATGCAGTGGCATATGTTAAATACACTCTTGTATGAAAGAATGCACTAGCACCTTTCCTGTGAGCTATAAAAGCTCGTAGCTTTGGGCATTGCCACATGTTTCATTGTTTGTTGGAACAACGCTGTTAGCATGAAGGACTTCATGGAAAGATAGGACATGTTGAAGCCTATGTACATTGACGGCCAAGAGTATCCATGACAAAAGCACTGTTCATATTGCAGTTTCTCAAAGGGGATACAACTCAGTAGAGGGAACTAAGAGACATGGTACAGGTTGAATTTTGCATCATTAGTTTCAACTCATGCCTATATGCTTTAATCGAATACAATATAAAAGTTTGGAGAGGCCTCGTACTGAAGACTGACGTGCAGCAGCCAATTTCCTCCGAGACTAAAGAAATACCCTCGTTCACTCACTCTGCAGTGTTCTCCAAAGGCTCACAACATTGCCACCAGTTTTTATCAAAGCACTTCAATGTTTCTTGTAGCAGCTGTTTCTTCCAACTATTGTAACGGTGCACTAACAGAAGCATTAGCTACTTGTAAATTGAGCAGCTCATAAGTACAGCTGTGTATAAAGCAGTTTTTCCAGTGTCTAAATTGTCCATCAGCAAAACATTTAGACTTAGTTATAAAAATTGTTTTAGGTAATGTACACTTACTCAATATGCAATACCAGAATGATTTATCACACAAATTGTACATAAGGCCCAATGAAAATACAGCTAGCTGCTGTGGTGGCTTAGCAGCTACATGGTGTTGCACTGCTGAGTATGGGGGTGTGGTGTTGATTTCTGGTCATGATGATCGCAATTTGGTGGAGGCAAAACGGAAAACACCCATACACGTAACAGAAAGAGAGATGGTATACAAGAAAGCCAGGAATATTAACTATACTCTGTCCAGACCGCCTGAAACGCTGGACTGTGTGTGCCATGAAATGTGTATATACTGATGGTTTTCTTTCTCTCCCTCTTTCTTCGATCCCCTTACTCCCATTTCCATGCAAACGCTGGATGAGCTGGATTTTCAGAACACAATCTGGATGAGTGGTGTAGTAAGAGCCCATTGTAAATGCTTTTATGGTGTTTAAGGCACGTATACAGAGTACAGAAAGTCAAGCTTTTATATATGTACGTATCCATTGAAATACAGCCAGGTGCACTTTGTGATCTTAAAAATATGATGGAAGGGATATACAGTTTTACGCTACAGACACTAAGTTTATAAACAGAAAGTCCACTATAAAATAATGGCAAGACCATTGCAAGGTTGTGGTGGACATGGGTGATGGCAGAATTTAAACTGCTTTTGAGGCATTAAAGCGTCAGTGCCCTCCAGGCCATAAAGAAAACTGTGGCCAGGTTGGAGCTGCTGACATTGCACTGCGGCTTAGCTGGAATGAGCAGGTGGCTTTAGAGTGCCCACATTGACACCACAGAGAAAGCTATTGCCGGGGCAATTATGATGAATTGTGGCCCTTTGTATTTTTTTTTTCATTTCATTTAACTTTATTTTCAATTCCAACATGATAGAACAAAAAACTGTTTGGACCCATAGCCGAAGGCTAGAATAGGGTCCAATAATGCAATACAAAATGGCACAGTATCCAAACAATAGCACAAGGCAACAATAGCACATGTAGCAAAACAATAGAACAAGGCATTGAACCAGGATACAAGATGCTAAACATTGCGGATATAGTAAAGAAGGTTAGGCATTGTACAGACATATATATTCAGATACTCGAACTTGGGTAAGGTAACAAGAACATGTAATTTTTATACACAAACAAAAGAAAGGCAATGAGTAATAACAACTACGCAGTAAACGTTCACTGGACGTAGTGATACTTATATGCAAGAATTGAACGATTTTGTTACTATTAAGGGGGTTATGGAGACACACTAAGGATTGCAAGGAAGTGTTTTTTTATTTTCAGAGGAAAGTCAACAGCCGATTTTATATCCTGGGGCAATCTATTCCAGATTTTGGTACCAGGGTACAATCTGAATGAGTGGTAACTTTGTCGGTAACTGTGTGTGTCGGTAACTTTTAAACTCCCAATTTCGGGGCACTTTATATGACATGGCACACAGAGCTACACTGTACGCAAATACAAGGCAACATTGTTGCTGCTGCTGCTGATGAAAAGTATGAGGAACCATGGCTGGGCCTTCTGTGATAAGTGGGCCCCTTTAACACCACTCGTTATGTGATTCACATGGCGTGGCTCCGC